GCAATACCAACAATCACTTCTGTATTTTTTGACATTCTAAACTTTTGGATTACTTGGCCTCTGATTTTATTTTGTTTTTTTTTTTGTTTTTTTTGTTTTGGGTCCGGTCGTGGGGCCTGAACTCTGGGCCTGGGCGCTGTCCCTCAGCTCTTCAGCTCAAGGCTAGCACTCTACCGCTTGAGCCACAGTGCCACTTCCGGCTTTTTTCTTTTTTCTTATGTGATACTGAGGAATCAAACCCAGGGCCTCATGCATGCAAGGCAAGCACTCTACCACTGAGCCACCTTCCTAGCCCTGGCCTCTGATTTTATAATAATATAAATTTTACATTATAAAACTTAAATTATTGAGTATTTCTATACTTGACACTGTTATATAAAATAGTTTAATCACTTTTTGTTAGCTCAAGTACAGGAATCATTTATTTAAAAATTTTGTCAGGAAGATTTTACTTGATTAGTTTTTCTATATTGTGAACTTCTATTTTTCATTGTTTTTCCTTTTTCATTTTTTTTGGTCATGGGGCTTGAGCTCTGGGCGCTGTTCCTGAACTCTTCAGCTCAAGTCTAGTACTCTACTACTGTGAGCCACAGCACCACTTCTGGTTTTCTGGTGGTTTATTGGAGATAAGAGTCTCATGGACTTTCCTACCTGGACTGGCTTCAAACCATGAACCTCGGGGCTGGGAAGGTGGCTCCGTGGTAGAGTGCTTGCCTTGCATGCATGAGGCCCTGGGTTCGATTCTTCAGTACCACATAAGCAAAAAGAAAAAAGCCGGGAGTGGCGCTGTGGCTCAAGTGGTAGAGTGCTAGCCTTGAGCTGAAGAGCTGAGGGACAGCATCCAGGCCCAGGGTTCAAGTCCCACGACCGGAACCAACAAAACAAAACAAAAAAAAACCCCATGAACCTTAGATCTCAGCCTCCTGAGTAACTAAGATTACAGGCATCACTACTGGTACCTTGCTTTTCCATTAAAAAAAAAAATACAGGGCCTGGGAAAGTGGCTCAGTGGTAGAGCGCTTGCCTTGCATGCTCAAGGCCCTGGGTTCGATTCCTCAGCACCACATAAGCAGAAAAAAAAAAGCCGGAAGTGGCGCTGTGGCTCAAGTGGTAGAACGCTAGCCTTGAGCTGAAGAGCTGAGGGACAGCTCCCAGGCCCAGAGTTCAGGCCCCACAACCAGACCCCCAAAAAAATAAATAAATAAAAATAAAAAGCTCAAGGACATCACCCAGGCCCTGAGTTCAAGCCTTATGACTGAAACAACAAAAATAAAATAAAGATTAAAAAAAAAAATACAAGTATTATTTATTTAGTACTCTTTAGGGAACAGAATCTTTTAAAATGTGTCATTTGGATGTATAATGTATAGTGAAAACTAGCCATGCAAGTTTCTAACAAGAAATTGACATGTCATACAAGTCAAGAAAAAATAGCCACTAGAAATTAACCCTAAGGGCTGGGAAGGTGGCTCAGTGGTACAGTGCTTGCCTTGCATGCATGAGGCCTGGGTTCGATTCCTTAGCACCACATAAGCAGAAAAAGCCGGAAGTGGCTTTGTGGCTCAAGTGGTAGAGCACTAGCCTTGAGCTGAATAGCTGAGGGAGGGGCTGGGAAGGTGGCTCAGTGGTAGATTGCTTGGCTTGCATGCATGAGGTTCGATTCCTCAGCACCACATAAGCAAAAAGAAAAAAAGGCGGAAGTGGCGCTGTGGCTCAAATGGTAGAGTGCTAGCCTTGAGCTGAAGAGCTGAGAGACAGCGCCCAGGCCTGGAATTCAGGCCCCACAACTGGCCCCCCCCCCCAAAAAAAAAAAAGAGCTGAGGGACAGTGCCCAGGCCCAGAGTTCAGGCCCCAAGAGTGACAAAAAAAGGAAAAAAAAGAAATTAACCTTAAGCTGGCACAATGTGAACCGTAGATCAGCTGTGGTGTTAAAGCAATTTAAATGTTTAAGAAGCTAAAGGAAAATGGCAGGATGCTGGTTGTTCAGAATGATAATACTAGCTATGAAGATGGCAAAGATTTGGATGATCTTATTTTCATTCGAACTATCTCAGCCAATAGCTGGTGAGGTGGTTTATACCTGTCATCCCAGCTAAGAAGGAGACTTTGATCAGGAGGGTTGTAGTTCATAGCCAATCTGGATAAAAACTTTGGGAGACCTCTAAAAGAAGAAAATAGTTAATGATGGAACTTCTCTATCATCCTAGTTACAGTCGGAAGATTAAATGAGAGTGTGGTGGTCCAGGCTAGCCTGTACAAAAGCTATACTCAATCTCAAAATAAGAGCTGAGATTTGAAGCCACCCTGGTCAGGAAAGTCCGTGAGACTCTTATCTCCCATTTACCAGAAAATGGGAAATGGAGTTGCCGCTCAAAGTGGTAGAGTGCTAGCCTAAGCAAAGCTTAGGGACAGCACCCAGGACCTGAGTTTAAGCTTCATAACAACAACAATAACAGCAACAACAACAACAACAATAAACTAAGACTGGATGTGTGGCTTCAGTGGTTCTGCAACGACCTAGCAAGTGTGAAGTCCTAAGTATAAACTATACTACCAAAAAAAGAGAAAATTTCCCAGGCACCAGTCAGGATCAAGGTTGAAGCCAGCCCAAGCAAAAAAGTCACTGAGACTTTTTTTTTTTTGGTCTGGTCGTGGGGCCTGAACTCTGGGCCTGGGTGCTGTCCCTCAGCTCTTCAGCTCAAGCTAGCGCTCTACCGCTTGAGCCACAGTGCCACTTCAGCCTTTTTTCTTTTTTCTTATGTGATACTGAGGAATCGAACCCAGGGCCTCATGCTTTGCAAGGCAAGCTCTCTACCACTGAGCCACCTTCCCAGCCCGAGACTTTATCTTCAGTCAACCACCAAAAAGCAGGAAGTAGAACTGTGGCTCAAGTGGTAGAGTGCCAGCCTTGAGTGAAAAGCTAAAGGACAGTGCCTAAGCCCTGAGTTCAAGCCTTCAAATCAGCCAAAAAAAATTGTGTTTAGAGAATTAAATGATAACATAGTGCTAAAAAGTGAAAAAAAATGACAAAATTTTATAAATGTAGATAAAAAGAACCAAGATGACATTTTAGAATTGAAAGTTGTTGTAAAGATATATAGTAGATATAACATTTTTACTGGTTGGACTTAGTAATAAATTGGATACGATAAGGATATGTCTGTAGGGCTGGGAAGGTGGCTCAGTGGTAGAGCGCTTGCCTTGCATGCCTGAGGCCCTGGGTTCAATTCCTCAGCACCACATAAGAAAAGAGCCGGAAGTGGCGCTGTGGCTCAAGAGGTAGAGTGCTAGCCTTGAGCTGAAGAGCTGAGGGACAGCGCCCTGGCCCATAGTTCAGGCCCCACGACCGGACCAAAAACAAAAACAAAAACAAGGATATGTCAGTAAACTGAGAATAATAGATCAGTAGACTAAGCTGGAAAACAGAGTTAAAAAAAATGACAAGACAATTTCAAAAGAACTTCAAGTACTTATTAGAATCAGATGATCTAACATTTATATTATTGAGTCCTAAAACATTTGAAAAATTTGACTAAGTACTCCTAAATTGGAGGAAAAACATAGTTTAATAGATTTAAGATATTTAACCAGGATAATTACAAACAAAATTATACCTGTATGCCTCTTAGATTTTTGGCAGATATGTTAGCATGTTGGAATATGTATGCATGAGACTCAGGCTATTTCTATCTAAGGCATTAAAAAAAAATCTAAGGTGAGCCGGGCACCAGTGGCTCATGTCTGTAATCCTAGCTACTGAGGAGGCAGCCTGGATAGTTAAGTCCCTGAGACTCTTATCTCCAGTTAACCACCAGGAAGCCAGAAGTGGCGCTGTGGCTCAAATGGTAGAGCGCTAGCCTTGAGCTGAAGAGCTCAGGGACCGCACCCAGGCTTAGAGTTCAAGCCCTACGACCAACCCTTCCACTCCTCCCCGCCCCCCCCCCCCCCCAAAAAAAAATCTAAGGTGGATGAAGTGAAATAAAGAGTTAGATGTTGGCCCAAATAAGGCTACTCTATCAGAGTAGATTCAGATCAAGTAGGTTTCTGTGGCTAAGATTTTATGTCTTATTGTGAATGTACTAGAAACAGTATATGAAAATACTTTAACAATAAGAGTGAGATGATTAGATGTATGTTTTATGAAAGATGATTTCTTTTGCCCAGAATAAATTGGTTGGGGGTAAGCAGCTCAGATGCATTGTTCTAGGATAAAGTTGATGGTGGCTTGTATTTGAATTATACCAACGAAGCCGTAGACAGATAAATTTTATACATGAACTGAGCATGGTGGTATAGGCCTATAATCCTGGAACTTGTGAGGGAAAGTCAGGAGGGATCATGAGTTTTAGGCTTGTCTGAACTGCATATTGAGACTCTGTCTCCCCAACCCCCTAAAATATGAATATGTTACTTTAAACTTAAAAATTGTTCGTTATTCAGAAATGATCAACTATTGAGAAAGAAGATAAGCAAGTTGTTCTTACTCATTGTTGGAGTGTATGTACATGAAGGAATGATTTATTGTAATTGTCTTTTTATTTCTACAATTTACAAAAGTTCCTATTTCCTGAAATTAAACACCAACAATAATCCTTAACTTTTATTTATTTATTTATTTATTTTTGGGTCCGGTTGTGGAGCCTGAACTCTGGGCCTGGGTGCTGTCCCTCAGCTCTGCAGCTCAAGGCTAGCGCTCTACCACTTGAGCCACAGCACCACTTCCGGCTATTTTTCTTTTTGCTTATGTGGTGCTGAGGAATCAAACCCAGGGCCTCATGCATGCAAGGCAAGCGCTCTACCACTCAGCCACCTTCCCAGCCCCATCCTTAACTTTTAGTAATGGAAAAAAATTGGATTTTGATTGAAAAGATTGAAATTTAGTCTAGCTTCACTTCTACTTTGCTTGTCCACTTATTGGCTAGCCATGGCTCACTCCTTTCTCCTCCTTTTCTCCCTTGTTCCTTTCTTCCCTTCTTTCCTATCCCTCTCTCTCTCACGTATTTTTGTGCACCATTTCTGGAGGTACTGCAATAACAGAGGGATGTTTGGAGTGGAGGAAACAAATTCCTATTCCATCTCTCTGCTCCAAAAATCCATTTCATATATCGTACTTGATAGAGGGTTTATTAGATATTAAACTAAAATGAACAGATGCCATACTTAACCTTAGCCAAAAGGATAAGAAGCCATAGCCATTTCATTGTTCTATGTCTTAGTGTTTTCACTTATACAAATGGTGATTGCAGGTTCATTTTTCTCCGGGTATAGTAGTTAATGAAATACATTTCATTAGATTATATGTATGTATTATTACTGACACTGATACGTGACTTTTAAATTTAGGAGATATTTAGTTTTTTTTTTTGTTGTTGTTGTTGATATGCTGGAGATGGAAACAGAACCCAAGGCTTAATTTAAGCTCAGAAATATGTTAATACCACTTAACTATACCCCTAGCCCTCAAGTCTTTTCTTATAGGACCTTGTAGGTTCTGAATAAGGGGCTTGAATTGAAGGAATGCTATATTCCAATTTGCTTAATCTGGTTTTTTTTTTTTTTTTTTTTTTGTACCAGTCTTGGGGCTTGAACCCAGAGTCTAGGCATAGTCCTTAAGCTTTTTTGCTAAAGAGCGCTACCCATAGTCCCCCTTATGTTTTTTTTTTTGTTTTGGTTTTGGTAGTTCATTGGAGGTAAGAGTTATCACAGACTTTCCTGAGCTGGCTGGCTTTGAACTATGATCCCTAGATCTCAGCCTCCTGAGTAGCTAGAATTACAAGTGTAATTCCTGATTTTTTTTTTTTTTTAAATTGGTCATGGAGCTTGAACTCAGGGCCTGGGCTCCTGGCCCTGAGCTCTTTTGCTCAAGGCTTGTACTCTACCACTTTGAGCCATAGTTCCACTCCTGGTTTTCAAGTGGTTAATTGGAGATAATAGTCTCACAGGGACTTTTCTGCCAGTGCTGCCTCCAAACCTTTATCCTCAGATCTCAGCCCCTGGAGTAGCTAGGATTACAGGCATGAACCACTGGTTACCAGCTTTTTTTTTTTTTTTTTAATCTTAATGACCTTAAAGTTTATTCTTAGATGTGAATTTACCATCTTTGGAAGCACGTAAGCATTTTCTATCATTTAATTAATATGGAATATAATTTTTCTATAAGCTAACATTTTCTAGCTATAACTGACTAGAACTCTTGCACGAAAAAGCAGATAGGAATAACAATTCATTTTGGATTTAGATGTAGTAAGCACCAAATATAAAAAGTCATTCATTAACCCTGAAATAGGAAAATACATTGTGTTACTGACATAAAATAATACATAGCAGTAACAATGGAAGATGGAGAAATATGGAATAAGCAATATAGCCTAGACATACAATCACCCTTAACCAATAGTATTGATAGATACTTTTTAGAGACTTATGTATAGAAATATGAACAATATTGGTATGATATAGGATAGTACTGCAATTACACAAATAGGTAAAATACCTTTTTTATGGAAATGTGTATGCAAAGGGCTTCTGAGATGCATTGTTCTGTATCCTGAACTAGTAAATGGTTCCCCACATGCTCAGTTTATAATGGAAAATTCTCACTTTATCTATTGGGAATATATTTCAAGATAAACAGAGGATGCCTAAAATTTCAGATAGAGAAGTAGCAAGCTCTCTTAAAGTTTTTTTTTGTACATTCATATGTATGATGAAACTACACATGAATTGTGTCTTTTTCCTTTTTTTTTTTTGTCCATTGTGGGGCTTGAACTCTGGGCCTGGGTGCTGTCCCTCAGCTCTTCAACTCAAGGCCAGTGCTCTATCACTTGAGCCACAGGGCCAGTTCCAGTTTTCTGGTGGTTTATTGGAGATAGGAGTCTCACGGTCTTTCCTGCCTGGGCTGGCTTTGAATGGTGATCCTCAGCTCTCAGCCTCCTGAGTAGCTAGGATTACAGGCGTTAGCCACCAGCGCCTAGCAAAACTTCATTTATTTACTTATTTATTTTGGTCGGTCGTGGCGCTTGAACTCTGGGCCTGAGCACTGTCCCGTCAGCTCTTCAGCTCAAGGCTAGCACTCTACCACTTGAGCTGCAGCACCATTTCTTTTGCCTTTTTTCTAATTTAAAGAAAACATGAACTGTTTGGTAATTAAAAATAAAACAAAATAAAAACAACCAAAAACTATTGCTAATATTGAGGTTACCAAAGAGAAAGAAAAAAGCTTAGCAAATACTAAACTCATTATAACTCCAGCTAGAAATTATACTCTTAATTGCTAAAATGCGATAATAAAAAGAACTTGGCATAAACAGGATTTAAAAATAATTCAGCCGAGCACCTGTGGCTCATGCCTGTAATCCTAGCTACTCTGAGGATAGTGGTTCAAAGCCAGCCTGGGTATGAAAGTCCGTGAGACTCTTATCTCCAATAAACCACTAGAAAAGTGGAAGTGGCGCTGTGGCTCAAGTGGTAGAGTGCTCATCTTGAGCTGAAGAATGCAGGGACAGCACCCAAGCCTGGAGTTCAAGCCCCACAACCAACAACAACAACAATAACAGCAACAAATTCAGTGTCTCTATCTCCCTTCCAGCGCACCCACACTCTGTTAGAATGTGCCCCTGCCCTTCTGTTTGTCTGCTTTTTGTCTGTTTTTCTTCTTATTTGCTTGCTTGCTTACTCAATAAAGTTCTGCCAAGTTTTCTTACCATCAAAAAACCCCTAGTAATTTCATTCATAATCTTTAAAAACTTCATTCATTGGGGCTGGAAGTTGGCTCAGTGGTAGAGCATTTGCCTTGCATGCCTGAGGCTCTGGGTTCGATTTCTCAGCACCACATAAGCAAAAAGAAAAAAGCCGGAAGTGGTGCTGTGGCTTAAGTGGTAGAGCACTAGCCTTGAGCTGAAGAGCTGAGGGACAGTGCCCAGGCCCAGAGTTCAGGCCCCACGACCGGACCCCAAAAAAAAACAAACCAACCCCCCCCCAAAAAAAACTTCATTCATTGTTTATTTCCTCCAGGAATTTTCTCCTAAGTAAGCACTCTGCTTTGGAGAATTCTGAATGCTTGTTGTTATGAGAGCACAGACTGTCAAACCAAATGTTGAAATCTACTTAGTAATTGTCATCTATCATGTTACCTGTCTTGATTTTACTACTGGTTTTCAAGTTTCTTGAAGGCTATAGGATAGTCCTTATTAATCTTTGTAACAGCCATGTGTTGCATATAATATCTCACATATTTTAGTGTTTGAGTTACCTAATAGATTTGTTATAAATATTCTGTATATTCTGTTATTGTAAATGGCAAACATAATCATAAATGTTTTGTATTGTTAATTGCAGAGTTCTTCCTCCATTAGGATATTTACTTATTAATATGTATAAAAGTTTATGAGATGATTCTATTTAGATTGTGAATGGAATATTTTCTTCAGATGTTAACTTTGTTTTAAATATCAGGTCTTGGAGAAAATGCTTGTGCAAAGAAAAGTCATGAGAAGTACCTTTCAGCTTTGAAGAGCTCGGGACTCACATATCCTGAGGATAAGCTTATATATGGTATGCAGGAACCATCTGCTGGTACTAGTACTCTGGCAGTACAAGGTTTGTTTATTTAAACAGAGTAGTGACTTCTCTGTATTCATTTATATTGAGATAAATTGTCATTCTTTTGTGTGTGTGCGTGTGCGTGCGTGCAAGTAATGGGGCTTAAACTCAGGGTATCTTTTAGGGCCAGGGGCAGTCATGGGTCTTGAACTCTGGGCCTGGGTGATGTCTCTCAGCTCTTCAGCTCAAGGCTAATGCTCTACCACTTGAGCTACAGCACCACTTACATTTTTTTGGTGGTTAATTGGAGATAAGAGTCTCACAGACTTTCTTTAGGCGGCTGGCTTTGAACCACGATCCTCAGATCTCAGCCTCCTGAGTAGCTAGGATTACAGGTGTGAGCCACTGGCACCCAGCTACTCAGGGCATCTTGCTCTTGATTGGCTTTTTTTGTTCAAGGCTGGTGCTCTACCTCTGAACAAGGCCTCCATTTTGGGATAATTGAAGAGTGTCTGGAATTTGTCTATTTGAGCAATCTTTAGATTTGAGTCTCCTGAGTAGCTAGAATTACAGGAATGAGCCACCAGATGCCAGCTCAAACCATTCTTTTTTTTTTGTTTGGATGATTTTAATTTTTTAAAATTGTTACTATATAGATGATGTACAGCAGGGGTTACAGTTACATAAGTCAGGTAAAGAGTACATTTCTGTTTGGACAGTGTCACCTCTGTCTTGACTGTCTCCCAATTTTTCTTTCCTATCTCCAACCACAAGTTGTATAGTTAATTTTCAATATAGTGTCCAGTGAGTAACATTGTTGCATTTGTTGACCCTTTTCCCCCCATTTCTGTGCCTCTCCTTACACTCCCAAAGACATACACACAAACAGAATAAAAAGGAAGGAAAGCTAAGTGCTGGTGGCTCACACCTGTAATCCTAGCTACCGAGGAGGCTGAGATCTGAGGATCACAATTCAAAGCCAGCCTGGGCAGAAAGGTCCGTGAGATTCTTTTTTTTTTTTTTTGGGAGGGGGAGGGAAGGGTACGGTTGTGGGGCCTGAACTCTGGGCCTGGGCGCTGTCCCTCAGCTCTTCAGTTCAAGGCTAGCGCTCTACCACTTGAGCCACAGTGCCACTTCCGGCTTTTTTCTTTTTGCTTATGAGGTGCTAAGGAATCGAACCCAGGACCTCAGGCATGCAAGGCAAGTGCTCTACTACTGAGCCACCTTCCCCGCCCTCCGTGAGATTCTTATCTCCAATTAACCACTAGAAAACTGTAAGTGGTGCTGTGGCTCAAGTGGTAGAGTACTCACCTTGAGCTTAAGAGCACAGGGATAGCACCCATGCCCAGAGTTCAAGCCCCATGACTGACAAAAAAACAAAAACAAAACCCACAGCCAGCAAAAAACCAGAACCTCTTGTTTTCATTTCCTGGAGTTCATGTTGATAAGTATTATTTTATATGATCAGATGCACATAGGCATTGTGTCTTTCTATTCCTCTTCTAAGAGTATCCCCCTTTGTTGTCACTGTATGTGAATGCTTAGAGACCTGTGTAACTTATTAGTCCTTGTATTTTAGATACAGATTCCGCATATGAAAGGAAACACATGCTGTTTGTCTCTCTGAGACTGCTACATTTTTTTGCCAT